TTGAGGGTGTTTGGTTTGTTACCATGTTTCATAACCTATATGTATGTAAYTTAGTCTTTTTTATACACATCAAAATTTGATGTATCACATACCACAGACAGAAGAATCTACAGGGTATTTGCAAACAGTGCTATTTTTCTGCAGTTTATTCCTCCTTTTTGTTTAGGAAAGGCCATTCCTGGGATTATATGAGTACTTGCCCAATCAAGAGTCTGTCTTAACATTCAGCACAGATTATTATATTTATTTGTCTGTTCTCCCTGCAGGATGCCATAAATCAGAAGGACAGGGAACTCTTGACTATAATGTTCAGTGTGATGTCTGCATTGCTCAGCATAGTGCCTGGCATATACTAGCCACTCAATAAATGTCTGGGTGAATAGATAAGTTAGGCATGAGAATCATTTCAGTCTATAATAAACATCTTRTGCCTAGATTTCCAGGAAATTGCTTATAACTCTAAATATTATTCATTTCTCACTCACTAAATCACTCACTTTTTTTACCCTCAAAAATATCAGAGTGGTATGAGTTTTTTTAGTGTGGTTTTTTTAAGTTCTTTTTCTGTTTTCTATAACCTTAAAGAAAGTGGTATCTGTTATTGGGYTTTTTAGTAAAGTCACATTAATAAAGTCACTCAAAGGGGGTGCTTCAAATATTCCTTCATTACTTTGCATTTAATATCATGTGATGCCTTGAGACCATGTGCAAAATCAGAATTTTCTTTTTTTAATATATACATTTATTTTATTTATTTTTATGTGGTGCTGAGGATGGAACCCAGGGCCTCACATGTGCTAGGCATGCACTCTACCGCTGAGCCACAACTCCAGCCCCAGAATTTTCTTAATTCTAGCAAATAAAGAATATAAAGTTTTGCTATTAGAGTTTAATTTAAGCTCAATTTTCATCATAAAAGAGAATTGAAAATAATTGTTAATAACACTCAGATTTTTAAATCTGACTTTGAGATATTAAATCTTGACAATTATTAAATCTTGACAATTATAAAGAATTACATGAGCTTTGAATTTTTCTGAGAAAAGAGCAATCTTGTAATGCCTTAGTTCATTTTTAGATTGGAGATTTTAAAGTATTTTAGAAATGAGTATGAATTTCCTTTGGGATATATTTTGAATCTGTCAGGGTTATATCTCCTAAAAGGACCAAAGCTGTCTCAAGAGATCCTAACTCTCCATCTTGGGCCTTGAATGTTACAGGGGCTCCAACACCAAGTGGCTCAMGTGGCCACCCAGCTGGAAGCTACACGATTACTGATATACAACGCTGCTAGGCTTGTAGAAACTGGAAGACCATTCATCAAAGAAGCATCTATGGCCAAATATTATGCAGCAGAGGTAAAAAAAAAAATGGAATTTTTTATTTTTACCTTTCCACTTAAGAATGTTGACTGAACTTAGGTTTTTTTTCAAGTAGGTAACATGGACTTTTCACTTCTGACAGTTGAAAAGCAAAAAAGCAAAGCTACCCTAGGAGAACATTTTAATTCTGTGGGGTCTCGTGTTTCCATGAGTAGTCAGTTCAGGTAGCCCACCCTAACAAGTCCACAGAGGAGCCTCCTGTGAGCAGTGGTGTCAGGCCCATGGTTTCAGGTTGGGGCATGGAAGATGAGGTGTTARCAAATGAGATTAAAAGCGCAAAGAAAAAAATTGTCTGTGTTTAATGTTTTCTGCTCATACTTAACATTTAAGGAGTTAGAGTTTGGCTGGAGAAATTAGCCACATCATCGAACAGCTATTTCCCAGTCTTGACAATATGTCTGATTTATTTTAAATACTCATTTAAGCTCTCCAGTCCCTAAATTTATCCTCCTACCTTAACCTCCCTTGTATTCCAACTAATGCATCCAGCCTGTGCTTAACCTGCCCATCTACCCAGTGCACCAGTCAGAAACCTCAKTGTCATCTTAACATTCTCCTTCTTCCCCATGTTAAATCCGTCATCCRTTCTTGTAGATCTGCCCACAAAAGATTTCTTGAATTTATGTACTTTTCTCTCCCTGGAACATCTCTATCCAAGCAAGACATGTCATTTCTTCACCAAACTGCTGCAGTCACCTAACTGCTATCATGGTTCCTGTTGCTGACTCCAAAGTATCCATGAGGTCATGTCACTCTCCACTTTAAACCTTTACTTCATTGCCTTCTCATACAAATATTTTTGTGTTAGTTTTCTATCACCACTACTGCAAATAACCAAAAATRAAATGGCCTAAAACAATGTAACTTTATTGTATCCCACTTCTGGTGGTCAGAAGTCTGAGATGGGTCTAACTGGGATCAAATCGAGATGTTGGCAAGGCTGCCTTCCTGGAGACTCCCAAGGAGAATGTGATTCCAGCTTAGGCAGGCTGCTTGCATTCCTCAACTTCTTCCTCCTGTACTGTCTGTACAGCCAGTGCTGTAGCAGAGTTGAAGCTCTTCCACACTTCCTGTTGCCTTCAGTGATTGACTACTTTGCCTTTCTCTGCCCCTTATTAAAAAACCTTGTGATGACATTAGATCCACCCAGATGATCCAGAATAAAATCTCCATCCCAAGGTCTTTAATATAATCACAGTGGCAAAGACATTGCCATGTAAGGTAGCTTATTCTGTTCCTGAGGATTAGGCTGTGGGCATCCTGGAGGGACCAGTACCAATAGTCAAGCTGCTCACCCTCCTCTAAGGCCGGCCTACCCCTCCATTCTCTTTTTATCRCAGCTTTCCCTGAACCCAGCCCATCAGCTCTCTCTCTCAGGTCCCTGAGGATGATGAGCCCCTTCTCCCCGTGGCACCTTTGCACGTGTTGTTTCTCAGATTAAAACATGCCCTGTAACTCCTATTTAGGTCTCAGGCTGTCTCCTCCAGTATCCCACCATGTAAATCACATCACTTTCCCAGCAAACTCCTCTTTTGCCCTATGCAGTTTATCAGTTTCTATGCTTTTGGTTTAATGTCTTTCTCTACGTGACCACCAGGACCAAAGGGGCAGTGACTGCTCACTGCCAACCATTCTATACCCACAGGCTGGCAGAGTATGCAGTATAAAGGACACCCTTGACAAATGTCTGCTAATAAATGATACCTARTGGCAAGCATATGAGTGTGAACAATTCTTTGGTTTTCTGGGTTGGGGGCGTAGGTCAGGTGGAGTGATTGCCTAGCATTCCAGTACTGCAAAAGACAAACAGAACACTAATATTCTGATTTTCTTAAGGARAAAGGAATTTTGCAAATTAATAGGATACTTATATTAGAATGGTACCAAAAAATGCTAGTTTATAAAACAACTTCAGTCCTTCCAGTTGCCAGTAATAATAAATCCATGTTACTAAAATAGCATAACAAGTGTTTATAATCATAAATTATGTGGTGTCAGTATGTAACTTGCTGCTTGTTTTTTGGTAGATTGCAGGGCTAACAACTAGTAAATGTATTGAATGGATGGGAGGAGTAGGCTACACAAAAAATTACCCTGTGGAAAAATACTTCCGAGACGCAAAGATTGGTAAGTAGATTTTTTTTACATTTTATTTTGTTGTTATTTTGGCATTTGAGCTATTATATTTGTTGATTTTATTTTACTGGTACCTTGGTATAAGTAGTTTTAATCTCCTCAGTATATGTTTATTGGCTCTCTTCTTGTAGCTGGATTTTTTTTTTTTTTTGCCCACCTCTTCTATCTGAAAAATGAATTTGTATTTTAAAAACATCAATTTGTCTTTTTAAGTGCCTCAACAGGCCTTTGAGTAAAACTGCATMAAGATCTACTATCTTAATTTTTCTTTTACTAAAAGTCTTAATATTTGTGACTAGTGTGATTTAATGCTGTTTTTTGAAGTAGGGTTCTAATTTCAGAAGCTAAGTGTCCTATCAGGCTGGAGTGGTCCAGTGCTCTACCACCTGAAAGGAAAATAAACACACCAGCTCAGACATGTTCCTCAGAGACAGTCAGAGCTTATGCATTGATGGTTTAGGAACCAGAATCTTCAATTGCTCCATKCTGATTCTGGACATTTTATAAGCCAAGGAAAATTGTCATCTTCTCTTGGTCAAAATGACTTTGTCCAGTACTTCCATATACTGGGGACATTAAATAATGTGACTAGCAATGGATTTGAGCAACTACAGAGGTAGTGTTTATAGTTTTGTCTTTGACTCTTAGCTGTGGGTCCCTTCCTAATTGTTCCTTTTGCTTCCTCTCATTTAAGGTACAATCTATGAAGGAACTTCCAATATCCAGCTGAACACCATTGCAAAGTACATCGACCAGGAATACTGATGGCCCTGGGTCTGGGCCCCTCCYGAATGCCATTGGTCTAACATTCTAAACTCCTGTGCATTGTTGGGGGTATTAGGCTCCATGGCATTGTGGTGTTTTATTGAGGTCCCCAGTCCAGGTCTGTGGCCTTGGCCTTTTCCCTTTATGGGCAGAGGAGATTTTTTAATTTGGGAAGAAATGCATCCATATTTTCTCCAAAATTGACTTAAAACTTAATATTTATATWATCACTGTAATTTCAGAGTATGCAGAAGCTTTGCTCYGTCAACATTTGGAAAAATGAAGAATCAAAGTATTAAAAAAGTAGTTATTTTATATTTCTTCTAAATCTTTATATTACTGCATCAGAGAAACATTTGTTACAGTCAACGATTTTTATTCGATACTTTATAGATTTTATTGTAAGTAGCCAAATGAGRCCAAGAATGATAGAAATTTATTTGGAAAAAAAAAATCTAAAACTTCTAAAAAAAAAAAAAATCAGTGAATGGGTGGAAATTAAGGGTGTAACTTTATAGGTCTTATAATAAAGCAATATAATTTGCCACTTTAATTAATCTATATAAAAACTGCATTTCATAATGGTTTCAGACGATCATTTTAAAAATCTGTCTTTGCATTAATTTTCAACTATGAAGTTCAAATGAAGTTGTTTTAACTGAAAATATTTAAAATTGTAATATTCATTCTTTTTTGCTCTATTTTCAATAATATAATTTCTCTGTGTATGTGTTTTGTTTTTGTTTTGTTTTGTGTGTGTATGTGGTACTGGGGATTGAACCCAGGGCCTTGTCCATTCGAGGCAAGCACTCTACCAACTGAGCTATATCCCCAGTCCTCTCTCTRTGTTTTGATTGAATGCTCTTTTCTCAAACTTTGTAATTGGGCTTCATCCTAAATAGTAACTAATTCAAAAATTGGGTTTTGGTTCAGTGATTYTCAAGAAAGAGAGATGTTGCCTCCATTAAGAAGCATATCAAAATCTTATAAGGAATGAGGGATAGAAGGGAGCTGTAGAGTTTGAAAAATCATAATCAACTTAAAGCAATTTTATATTTGGGAAGACAAAAGTAAATATTTTTCTACAATACAAATGACAGAAAGGTGGATGCCAACAAAATACATAGCAGGCAATGCCATTCCTTCCATATAGGGAGTCTCAGCAGGAAAAAACCCTCCAGGGTGGATCCTAAGTTCTCGAAGGAGGACAACAGATGAGAGTTTTGTATTCTCTGAAAAAGAGACATGGGTCAAACMTGAGAATTGTTCTAAGTCTCATGCAATTTCACTGAAAGTAATCATTATTACATGGGGCATTTTTTTACTTTAATGAAAGGATAAATACTAAGAAAACCTGACATTTTCAAAGTAATTTTGCTTTACACATTCWTGTTTATTGAATTGTGTTAATTTCTGCAATGCAAATCATAGTTAAGTATTCAAAGTTGTGTAAACACAATTCARGTAGGAATTACATTAAAATATTAGAAAGAAATAAGGACAAATTTAGACCTTGGCCCAAAGAGAGAGTCTGCTTTACGTTCAGATAGGAAGATGATGGAAACCCTATCCAGTCTTTCAAAACAAAAAGACAGTCATTTGGTAAGAGTAGGGGGTCAGTGAACTACCCTGGAAGTGGGTGAAATGCCCTGGGTGCCTTGGATATTTTTCGTCTCTGATGATGTGGAAGAGAGGTGGATATTACAGACGATGGAGGAAGAGCCGATATTAGTAAACAGAATCCCACCCTCTTCCTGTACAGTCGGAAACTTGTGGAAAGTGCAATTAACCTCATGTTTAAATTTGCAGCATCAGAGGCTGCCGTATATATCTGGACAATGAATGTATATTTAGGAATGATGAAGTTCTAATTTGTGGTGTATACTTTGTGCATGTCACAGAGAATAGTCAAAATTAATCATGTTCTATATTCTTGTTATTATATGATCTTATCATCTTCTGTTAGTGTATCATTGTGTTGTTTAACCAGAGAAGATACTGTGGGTTTTCCCTGTGCTTCTTTCATTATAGCTTTTCTTCTGATAACCATGACTTTGGGATCTTTAAAATTTTCTATCTTGAGTTTGTGTCTGGTGGAGATCAGCCTCCTGAAGCCTGTTGTTATTGTTTGTTACTTTGAGGATTGGGCTGTTAATTTGAGGATTGGGCTATTAGTTTGAGGATGGGGATTAGAAAGTAGAGWACTATTTGACCATATTTGGGGGCTGGGGGAGCTGGTATTAACCCAGCTGCCATATTAGTATTGTTAGAGAATTCATCCATGAAAATGAATYAGTATCAAGAATTTTAGAATCATGGAAGGTTAGACCTAGAAAGACCTTAGAGAACCGCCCAGACAATTTCCTCATTTTTAAAGTGAAGGATCATAGCCTTTGCTCTCCCAAGATTATGCAGGCACAAAGACAAGAATCCAAATACACTATTAATACTGTCCCTGTTCCAACAGCTCTTGGATTTCTTCCCTGCTATTGTGTGTTGGTTTATTTTAGATTTAACTGGTGAAGAATAARCATTTCAAGTATTAGGATTCATCGGTGTCTCGCTTACATATATTAATCACTTGCTAAAGGCACTGGCATTTAACATGCTCTCCTAGGTTGTAGCTGGGATCAAATATGAAGATTATTKTATGTGATCGTTTGACTTCATTGTTATTCTGTAGTTTAGTAAATGCACTAGTTGTATTCTCGCTGCTTTATTTATGCTGATCTTTCATAAAGTGAAAGTTTTATTTTAATGGTTTTTATCARAATGTATTCACTATTACAAAATCAATATTTTATGATGAATGAAAACATAATGCACTAAATTAACTGGAGATTTTTGCTACTTTAATAAGACAAAATCGTTTACACATTTAGATGAAGAAAATAATGTAATCTTCCTGCAAGATAGATGTAACACCTTTGTTTGCTCGCCTCTCCTGTAAACCAAGTTTAAATTCATGACACTAAAGAAAAATTTACCAGTGTCCTCTACCCGCCCCCTGGCAAAAATAATTAGCTCTTGAGTAGAAAAGTCACCTCTTTTGAGCATATCCTCATGGTTCRTATATTATCTGACTGATATTTAAGCCTGTGGCTTATGATTTACTTTTAGAAAYTTTATGTTATTGTACTTTTTACTCAGTGGTACACTACAGTCTAAAGCCATAGAAGATTTCAGYTTATCTGACCCACTGTTTCCTACATTATTTTAGAAATCCAGATTTTCCYTTTGTCATTCAGCAACATGTTTGAGTAATTACTATATTGGAGGTACTATGGGCTCTGACCTGCCATTGTAAATGAATTAGAACAGCTCCTTATTTAAATGTGTGCCCACCTYACTGTCTTTTTAATGTTTTCATTGGTGTATCCTCATAAAAAGATGGAGTAGAAAACTACCAAGGTCAACCCAATTCAGAAGTACCCCCTCAGATCTGTTAGAATGACAAGTGCTAACACCTCTTAAGCTTCCCATGTGCCTGTGCCAACTGTCATACTTCACTTTTGGTACATATTAACTCATATAGCCTATGAGTTGGATGCTCTTATATCCCATTTTACAGGCAAGGAGACTGGGGCATAGAGAATTTCAATAAGATGYTCATTGGTACATGGCTGGAAAAGTATTGAAAAATAAATGAACTACAGAGTGCCAAGGTGCCATCTCCTCTAGAGTTTCAACAGCAAC